CATGAATGTATGAAGGCCACGAAGTGGGAGAGGCAGGATTCAAACCTACGTAGAAATATAACCTTAAAGTAGGACATGTTGATATCATCCTGCAAAAGGACGAACTCAGCCATGTCCTTACTGTACTGACTGGAAGATCCACTCACCCTGAACTTCTTTATGCCTGCCATGAGAAGTTTTCGCCTAGCCTCCCTTTGGTTCACCTCCTCTCTACGCCGCTTCTCCTCTTTCAATGCTTGTACTGTCAATGCTTGCTTTTGGAGTTTTGCCTCCACAGCAAGCAGGTTTGCGTCCAGAGGGGAGAGGAGTTGAGGTTTCTCCTCAGAAGCTTCGCCCTTCTCAGTGTTAGACATTTTGAAATCCCACAAAATAGACAAGACAAAATAAAGTAAGAAACAAAAGGGAGGTCAACAGGAATGGGGGTTTCCCTTCACTACTAGCCCAATTGTTGTCACCTGACTGGAAGAAGTTTTTTAGAATGAGCAACAAGCACTCAGTCTCTGCACACTGCTTGAGGCTCGGGCGTCAGTTTAGAGCAAACTCAACAAAAACCATTTCACGATTTTCCGTTCACTGCCCTGACACCCCAATTGAGTGCAATTACTTCAATTCCTGAGTCAGTAAGTCACAGGATGCCCAAGATGTAAACATTTACTGGACGGTCTATTTTTGGACTTCCCCTACCGACTCAGCCACTGGACGACCCTATATGCCATACCCAGGGTATGGCTACATATTTCACCGTAATTGACTCGAAACATCAAATTTGACAGTGCGATTTTAGACAGACTAAATACTAAATTGCGATTTACCAGGGACAAACAAGACTGAATTCTGACAAACTCTAGCCTGACCAAACTTCAGCTATGGCAGCACAGAATTCAGAACTCCCTTACCACTGACAATATGACCTTGAACAATCCAATTCACTGTACAGACTTAATCGCAATACTGTAAAGCAGTCACAGATGAAAGTTGAGTCAAAAAATGGGTCAAATAGGGTTAGTAGAAGTCAAAGAAGGTAGGTAGGAGAAATTGGCTATGACTGTCCTACAGTCAAAAATTCGATTTTCAATTGTTTACAGACGGACAGGCCAAATTTCGCTAATCTAAAAATAGCCCCAGAATCGCCACATAGAGTAAAGTAAGGAACACACTTACTTCATATACTTCTCTAAAGGGGATGATGAGAACTTGGCTATGGCTGTCTCCTCATACCCATCTCGCCAATTTCTTCTCCAGACTTATTCCCAGTGTTCCCACATACAGGATCCTCTGAAACTTGGTGATCTTGTAGGACTTTCTGTGGCGCTTCAACCCCAACTGACAAATACAATGAATCTGGACTCCCAGATGCCAATAATTGAGAAACTCAGTGCAACACTGCTCCAACCTGCCCTGCGCTGCTTGGGAATTGGGGATCCTAACCCAATCCTGAAATCACAACACTCTGGGGGTCACTTCCTTGCAATTCGCCAGCTCTAGATGACTCACCAAACTACAAATAGCCTCCTCAGAGCCTCCCAGGCCTCTGAGTGATAATCGTCACTCACTTCTGTACTCCGCTGAGCAAATAGCCTCCTCATAGCTTCCCAGGCCTCTGAGTGATAATCGCAAGATCATTACTCGTCTGATCTCAAGAGTCATGATGCTCGCAGGCACTTTGGGTTCTTAAAGACGTATGCTGCCCTGACCCAACGCTTCTATTGGTCTAAAATGAAGGACAATATCCTGCATTACTTGGAGACCTGCGAGTTGTGCCAAAGGAATAAGGTCCACAAGCGGCCTCCTATGGGACTACTCAAACCCCTACCTATCCCTGATGGTCCAGGTTAGTCAGTGTCCATTGACTTCACAGACGTAGGCAAGACCACACCACGTGGAATGAGACAGGTAATGGTTTGCGTCGATAGATTCTCTAAGTATGCTGAGTTTATCCCCTTACCTGCTGAGGCCAGAGTACCTCTGGTCAGAGAGCTCTTTTGTGAGAGGTGGGTAAGTGTCCATGGGTGCCCAACCTCCATTGTCAGCGACAGAGACCCCAGATTTTGCAGTGATGATTGGCAGTCCTTCTGTAAGGACTACCTACATTCTAGATTGGACGTGACCTCTGGGAGACATTTGGAAGCCAATGGACAGGCTGAGGTAATGAACCAAGTTTTTTTTCAGTTGCTGCGTCCTGTGATCACGCCTGTTCAACAGGACTGGGACAGACATTTGTCACGGCCACAATTGATGTATAATTCATCTGTTCACAACACTACAGGCTTTACACCCTACAGGCTGCACTTTGCAAGAGACCCCAGACAACCTCTGGATGATTTGATTGACGAGTCTAAGCCTAAACTAACTCCTCGCGCTGCAGAGTTCACCAAGAGTTATGAGAAAGACCTAGAGAAAGCTAGAACTAACATGTTCAAGGCCCAGAAGAGGATGATCAAACAGGCTAATAAACATCGCTCTCCATCTACTATTCGGCCAGGTCACTGGGTCTGGGTGAAAAGATCTGAACTAACTGATGAACAGGATATTTCAAGAAAGTTGTTGCCTGTTTACTATGGCCCATGGCAGGTACTTGATACAGTGGGGGCAGATCCATTTGGATCTTCCTATGTGCATGCTGTACCCCCTCATATCAAGACCTATCCCGTCTTCCAGGCCTCAAAACTGCCGCCTTTTACCTCTGCTGATGCATTCCTTGATAGGCCTCTGCGGTTTGGACCTCCAATCCCTGGAAAGGGATACGAGGTTGAGAGCATCCAAGATCAGTGGGGCACAGGCCCCAACTGTGAATACCTTGTGAAGTTCCTTTTCCAACATCACACAGAGGACCGATGGCTCACAAGGAAGGAACTTCTCAAGTCTGCAAATTCAGTTGTACACGCCTGTGAGGCTGAACAGAAGAGGCAACCTCTCAGACGTTCTCCTCGAGGACATTCCTAGCTCGGGGTCCTCGCTCCCCGGGAGGGTAGGAATGCAATGAATTGCAGTGAAGAGCGAGCTGTACACTAGTTCTCTGCTGCCTGTTTTGCGCTTCCCGGAACTTGATCCCATGACTTGTAGTGTGTTTGCTGTGTTTGACTGTTTTCAGGCCTGTAGGGCTTGAACCTTGAACCTGTCGGTAGTAGTCCCTACTTTGCAGTCTTATGCCTTTCAGCCTCGTTGTTTTGTCCTTTCTGCCTTTCCAGAAACTGGTAGGCCGTAGGTCTAACTTTTTGGGTGTCTTAGCCTTGAGTCCCTTAGCTCACGTTTCCATCTAGATGCAGTTAGGCAGATCTTGGACTGAGTTATTCTCAGAGGACCTCGAATTTAGGCCGGCGGGAGTGAAACGGTTTTCACCTTTTAGCAGTAGCGAATGCAGATTCCAGGGCTCGATCCCTAGTTCTCACCTTACCTGTGTACAGTATCTGTGTCGACCCCGATTGTTTGAACCCGTGACCTGTGTTTTGACAGTTGTTGTTGTCTGTCGTAGGTCTGTGTAGTGGTAGGGGTTCGATCTGTAGCTCTGTCGAGTAGGAGTCACAGCCCTGTAGAGGTCGGAGCTGGAGGGATCCTGAAAGGTCAAGGTCGTAGCTGCTACAGTCCTGAGAGGTCAAGGTCGTAGCTGCTACAGCACCCGAAAGGCCAAGTCTACAGACTTCCAGAAGGTCCCGGAAGTGGCCTTTCGGAGTGGGCTCACATTTAGGCAGAGGCAAGTGGGCAAGTGGTGGAGCCAACCTCAGTACGTTGGCAGTGCGACTGCAGTGAGTCTGCGGTGCAAACCCATGCAGTCAGCGGTACCGGTCCAGTCAGTCCCAGTCCAGTCCAGCAAGTACCATGAGGGACTGTGTGCACCATGGGCCGATGGAAAAGGGCACACCAGCGAGTTACAGGAGTATAAATCAAGAGAAAGCGCCCAGCCATTCATTCATTCCTGTGTAAGCCATGCGGAAGCGCTGCCATAGCGACTTGTGCGAGGTGGTCTGCAGTAAGCCCGAGGACGAAGTGGGCAAGAAGGAACTTAGCCATAGCGATAGAGTAGCAGCGGCCATAGCCGCCATAGCTGTAGGTGTGTGCGGGTGTGTGCGAGTGTACAGGGTGCTGCGTGTGGGATATCCAGGGTGATCCTGTGTGCGAACAGCAGTGTTGAGTAAGAGACGAACAGAGAGTTGTACAGGCGATGTGCCGCCATAGCCGTTTGAAATGAACTTGTATCTGAGCTGCGTTCTTGGTACTATATCTCTGAGTTCTGAGTAGGGGCTTGACGCCAGTTTGCTGCGCAACCTGTTTGCATGCATGTGAAGTGTGAATGAAAGCGAGTCTGATTGCATCTCTTATTTGAGCTTCCGCTTTGCATATCTCCCTTCCGGTTTTGTGTGGAATTGCCTCCTTCGAGTCTACTCTGCAACTGCATGCGTGTATGGGAACGTGTGGATTCGTTGTGGATTGAAGTTCAATCGGGTACATAACAGATGTCTGTGAGGTCGAACTTGACGAGTACTTGGCTCATTTCAAAATTACAAAAAAAAGAAAAAAAGAAAATATTGTGCGATGCTGTCATCACCTCCTCCTTCACAGCCAGGCAGCACTGAGCCTGTGGCTAGAGCAGTACATGCTGTGACCTATGGATTTTTTTGGGACCAGGAGTGTTTTAACGTTGAGGATTACAAGTACTTACAGAATGTCATGGGGACTGGTGAGGAGCGGATTATTTTAGGGTGTACGTGGTGTAGAGGCGAAGAGATTGTTGCATAGACACTGAACAGCTCAATGTACATACATGATGGCCTTTCTGTTTTGTTCTTTTTGTGAAGAAGTTGGTGACATCGGCAATTCTGTCGCATGCTGGTTTACTGGGTCTAGCTTTTCTGCTTGCCTTGCTGTTGAGGGTTGGTGTCTATGTGGCAGGGTGGCTGGTTGCAAGGGCATCCGGCCCATCCGTCTATAAACAAGCTCAGATTATGATCTTGGAGTTTTTGGAAAGTTAACTTTTTGAAATTCTTTCTTTTTCCACGTGGCAGGCTCATTTACTATCCGCATAAAGTCCTGAACGTGCAGATGAGTTGCTATGAAAGGTATTGGAGGTAATTACTGGCTTTATCATGTTTCCAACTCATTGTTGGAAAAGAAAGAAGAGTCTGCTGGTAAGTTGTGCACCCTGCTCTGTTTCTGTTAGGATGGCATTGAGGAGCATTGTGCCTTTGTCTTTCTTTGAACTTGAAGCACATATTTATTGCAGGAAACTGATGCAGCTATTAGGTGTATGTCTAAATTGACTCTAAACTCTCTCTCTTCCAGATTCTTGATACGAATGACAATATGGGAATTCCTTACTAAGCGTCTCCCGTGTGTTACATGCCCAATCGGGCGATGTACATATAAAGTCAAGGATCCGCAATGTGATAAAAAGGACTGAATGGACAATGCACTGAATGCAGTGCTAGTAGAATCTCAACAAGCAGTGTACATCCCGGTACATACAAAAATGGTGCTTTGTAGCGCAGTGGAAGACTTAGATATAAGCCCTGACCTGACCGGGACTGACCTCTCTCACATAGTGCAAGACAGCGCAGCAGAATGCTAGAATACCAATGACTAGCCCAATCAATGTCGCAGTACAGACCAAACATACATCATCCTCATCACAAGGTGTGAAGGGGCCTGGCGCTACACACAGGAAGAATGCGCCAGGTCCAGTCCATACACAGAGGAAGAGGAGGGGAGCAGACAAAGAAGAAGGGTGTAATGACCCGCCAAAAACACAGACTGAGAACACTGCTGATTTCTGGGATTTGCCGCTGGAATGAATGCCTCGCTGAAATTCCCGCATTCTGCTGTGATTTCCATGTCTGTGTGTGTGTGTGCGTGCCTGCTGGTTTGCATGCCTGTCTGAGTGCTTGTTGGTTGAGTGTGTGTGTGACCCACAAGGGTACTTGTTGGTTGAAAGGGCCCGTAGGGACGGTACTTACCTGTGGCAGTGACTTTGCGGGTTGCAGGGGGGTAAACACTCAAGTAGCGGGGGTAGGCCCGCGACACTTAGAGCAGGGGGGAAAAACACTCGAGTAGCAGGTAGGCCGGTACCAGTCGAGTAGTGGTAGGTGTGTCGGGTACTGGAGGCCGAGCAGAAGAAGACAAAAAGTTGGCATTTTTAGAGGCCCAGTAGCGGTAGGATAGAGGTAGGCCGGTACCAGTCCAAGTAGCCCGGGTCTAGGGCCTGTCCGGAGGTTAGCAGAGCCTGCAATGATGTTTCCCTC